GAATAGTCCCACTATGAGTTAAATGTGCTGAACATATACTCAGCATGTGTGGTTTTCTCACAATTCTAGACATGAGTATTATGATAATTATAGGTACACATCTATAGTTACCACAACCAGGTACTCAGAATCAGGGTCTTTAGCTGTCATAAACCAAAACAATTCTTTAGCACAAAAGACAACTTCTAAGAGTCCCAGCTCCAGACAAGACTCCGGCATTTACCAATACTGCCTGGCAGCATAAAATATGATCAGACATTCTTCCTACTGGAAGGTCTCCTGTGAACTAATGCAACTCCAATGTACAATGGGATGCATTCAGTCCATAATTTGCCATCTCTCCAAACATGCTGGCTGTTCTCCACAGATTGAGGATGGCTCTGTGTGAGACCAAAGAGGTAATTTCAGCAGCAGCATCAGTCGCTTGGCTAGTTGTTATCGGCATTGCTCAGGGAGCCATGAGGGTGGGAGATGATCCAGGAGAGGTTTCAAAGCCTTTGCTAGTAACATAAAGACCACAGCTGCTGCCTGACCAGTGGCCATGGCCAACGAGTACAGCCAAGATGCATTCTATTTTTCACTTGATTTTATTCACTTCTCCAATAGTGTTAAAGCTACCCATATTAACTTGTGGGAGCTTCACTTTACATACATTTATCTTCAGGATTTGGGTAAATGCTACATTTGCCTTTGGAGTTGCCTCATGCAGGAACCATAAGTGGCTGTGTCCTCCGGTTCCAAGATCTGGCTGATAAATGAAGATGGCAACTCCTTTTGTCTTTTAGGTTGATTATCCCTGATCCTTAAGATAAACCGACTCAATTATTATCATTGACTTCCAGCTCTTAACCACAAGTCACGCAAGTCAATCTCAGACTCTGTATTGTGATTAGGTTCTCCTATTCACTGGCACTTTATCTGTCCAGGATTTGGTTCTGGAGAGATTTCTGTTACCAAAAGTGCTAGTTCCTATTTCAGGTCACCATTTGCTGTTTGGTCTATATTTGGCCAATAGCACAAATTCCTGTTTGAATAAATCTGGTGTATCTGCTGTATTTTTTCATAACCTGGATAGTTCTAATTTGTTATCTGGTCCTCCTAGACATCTAAAAACATACCTCTGTCATTCAACCCAGCAACCTTCTCTGCTGTGACTATGCTGATGAATAACAAGGGGGAGTCAGTGTCTCCTTCCGAAAGCCAGCATTTCTCTTCATCAAAGCCTGGTCTCTATACTATGCCCCATCTCCCCACTGCCACTCAGTCCCTGTCTAACAAATCCTCCCTCCAAATTCATAGCACTTAGACATCAACAAGAATAAGATCCACGTTCAAAGTCATCTTTACTTGTAACTAGTTTGTATTAAGCATAATGCCCTCAGTCAGGATGTCTTTTAATCATATAAAGACTGAGAACTTAGTCTCAAGGAACTTAAACACATACACACACAAAAAAGGCTTAGATATGAAGATATTGATTTCAAGCACATGAAACATAATGTAAGTATTAAAACAAAACACACAGTTCAATCTTTAAACATGTCTTCAGGTTGGTTTTGACATAAAATTCTCATTGCTTTTCTGAGCTTGCTGCAAAATAATTCTGTTTTCTCCAAAAATTCCATACAAGGAAAGATCAGTGTTGGTCTGAGCTCTTGAACTTTTCTGATTCAAGCTCAAGCAGACTGGCATTGTGTATACTATGCAATGAAGTTGTAAGTGTGACAATTCCTTGAAAACTGAATTCAAAAAGAAAGCATGTGAATAAGCCTAGTATAATGGCTAGCAAATAACAATAATAAGCACTCAATACCTCTGAAAGAAGAATTCAAATCATTTTGTCATAAATTATGATTTACATTTTTTTCTACGAATGACTATATAAGAGAGAATGAGTTTTTTTCTTGCACTAACTGGGAACTCTAGCTCTAGGAAGAAAAAAAAATTGGAAAATAGGCAGGGATACTTACATACATATTTCGAGAAAAAAACGGAAAAAGTATAGGTGAATCCTACAACAGCCTGTGACTGGGAAACCTATTATCCAAAATTTTTTCCAAGTTTCTGTTGCATTAAGATACCTATTTTCCTGAGGTTAAAAAAAAATTATTAAGGTACCAGTACAGTGTTTCACACCTGTAATCCCAACACTTTAGGAAGTCAAGGCGGATGGATAACTTGAGGCCTGGAGTTTGAGACCAGCCTGGCCAACATGCTGAAATCCCGTCTCTACTAAAAATAAAATAAATAAAAAATAAAAAATTAGCCGGGCATAGTGGTACATGCCTGTAATCTCAGCTACTCAGGAGGCTGAGATGGGAGGATTGCTGAACCCATGAGGTCCAGGCTGTAGTGAGCCGTGATGGCACCACTGCACTCCAGCCTGGATAACAGAGCGAGACTCTGTCTCAAAAAAAGAAAAAAAAAAAAAAAATCACCTTAAAAAACAAAACTGTCAGAAAAGAAAAAATGTAGTTAAGAAATATGGTTATTCACACAGTTCTTCTCTGGCAGCCATCTTGTTTTCTACCCCAATATATAAGGTAAATAATTCTAAAACAATAAAGAGGGGATGGGGAAACTCCTTACTAATGAAACACTTTAAATGAGCTCCCTAAATACTTTTAACTAGCATTTAATTTATTTTTAATCAGCTGCTTATCATTTGTTAAATAAATTCCAAAGGCCCCAGGATTCCACAGCCCTTAGATAGGCTAATCTCCCATTGGGAAGCAACACATATTAAATAGTTGCTAAACCTTGGTAAATACACTTTTAATAATTAATTCTAGAAGTATTTAACTTGCAGTAATATACCGGATATTTCAGCAATATTGTAATCCATGGGATATTGCCGAGGGATTTCTCAGATTAACACATTTGGGTCCCTGAGTCCCATCTGTATACCTCTATCTGAATTAACAGCAGGTGATTCAACACATGGCTACCAGCTCGGTGTCTGAGTGACCAATGATTTTATTACCATATCAGTGAGATCAAATCAGTGAAATGCATCAGCTGAGGAAATGCTTTGTAAGGGATGAGACAGACGGTGGCTTACAAGTCAACCTGGGTTTTCAAAAATGATAACTACTGAAAAGAAAAATTACTTTTCCTGTTGAGATGTGTAAATATTATGTAGATATTCTAACTCAATCTCTATGATGGATGGCGCTCAATTTTAAACATATTTCAGTAATGCCTTAATTTAATAGAATGGGAGATACACAAGATGTTGAAGGATCAAGGTGAGAATAAATTTTCTTGCACAGATGGTTTAGTCTTGTTCTAAAAATCCATGGGATTCTTATACTTTCCTCTCCATGAAAAAAAAAAAAAGGCTTTGCTTTCTTTCCCTTAAAAAGAAGATGTTTTGAGTAATCACTTTGTTAAATTCTGTATAGCCAGTCCCATTCCTACTAGCCTTGTGTAACATAACAATAGTTCCTCCCCCCGCCAATGTGGAGTAAATTGTTAACACTGAAGTCAGTAGTGACCTTTGTCTTGAGCAGAGCAGTTCACTTCCCCACCCAGGCTGACGGAGACTGCAGATTGACCAGCAGATGGTGCTACAGAGTGGGCAGCAGCCCAGGGCCTAACATCCTGGAGCTCAAGGACTGCATCAAAGACTCTCAAAAGGATCTTTAGTCTTCCGGCTAGTTAGTTATCTCATCCAGTAAGGAACTTACCATTTCCTGTCTTCTCTCTGCTCCGTTCTTTTTCCTCCCTCGTTTCATAAATGTGTTTCTTGTACTCTTAAAAACAGCGTGGCCTGTCCGTAGCATGACCCTTGAGCTCTTTACTTCAGGGCACCATAAGATACCTGAATAAACATGAATGGTGCCAAAGGCCCTTTCACGCAAAAAGAAGTATCCCTTTCCTGCACCAGCTAACACAAAAGCACACATCACGATGATGTTTTAGTAGTGATAAAAATCAAACATTTTCTGGAGCCATTATACTCTAAAATGTTAATGCAGTTTACTTTTTAAAATGTGATCGATAGATGGGGGAGAAAGTGCCCATAAATTACTAAAGGCAAAAAACATTCTATTAGCACGCAGTGGATTTTGCAAGGTTCGTTGTTCTGTGTTTTACCGGGGGGGATATTTTTAATTTGCTGAAAGCTTGAGTTCTGTTTTGTTGTTGTTGTTTTGTTTTTGTTTTTTAAATACCTGTCTTTGTCTTTCATGGTTCAAGAGGGATATTTTTAACATGACTCATTTAGGAAATGTAATTCTAATGCACTATAGCTATAGGTTTCAATTAACGTTCTACCTTTCTGACAGTCTTTACATTACATGTTTTATGAAATCATTAACTATTGTCATGTTTCTATTATGATACTATTAGGAAATAAAGAGACTTACGTAAATGGAGATGTAAAAGAAATGTATGACAGTTACTCCGAGCAACATCTGTGCACTATCATACATGCTCACACTAATTTTCTAAAGATTGTTCCATTCATTATAGAGCATTGTTAGTTGCAGTGGCACAACCCTTATTTCCATGCATTTAGGGAATGAAGCAGAGAGTGGGTAAATGAGAGCCTAATCAATACCACTTTTCATTTTGCATCTAATGTGCTGCCTTTCCCTTTCTTTTCCTCATGCACAAATCCAAAAAAGATCCTGACGTTACAGTCATAAAATGTAATTCTTCTGCAGAAACACAGACAATAATGCTTTCTGTATTCAGGCGTGTTGCATATTCTAATGGCATTTGGCTAAATTGAGTATGGATTTAACATCAAAGGCTTCATGAATTTTTCAAATGAGATATTAAAGTCAATATTTCAAGTGAAAGATATTTCAATTTAGTTGCATACACAACAATAAAAAAAACTTCTACAAGGTAGAGGTACTAGTGGCTGTAGCAGTATTAATTCATTCAAGAAATTATTAGTTTATAAGAAAATCAAACACAAGGTTGTGATATGGCAAAGACTGAATAAATTAAACTAACCGATATGCACCACTGTACTTTATCTCTTGCAGGCTGAAACAGTACACTTGCCACTGGCATGTTCAGGGCTCCTGGCTGATTTTTTTCTAAACTCTGTTGATTAGCATGAAGATTTGCATTGCCGTTTCATAAATCTCCTTATTTTCATTTGTACAAGTGGAAGACTTAGGATATGTGAAAAAAGAGCCATTTTTAACCTTGCACTTAAGTGGATCTTACTTCAAGGTGTCAATACCTAAAGTGGGTCTCCACAATGATGCTAAATGTTGCCTTTCAGGCAGGTTAGAGGATGCTCAGTTTTGGTGTGTGGGAAGGTGTTGTGGCTTGCTGACAGCCATCCATATCATGGCAGATGCTGAGACTCTGAAACAATACATGTAAGTTTGGATTTCTAGAGCACCTTTCCACTGAAGAACTCAAAGCTGATTCACATTCATTGTCTCATCAGTCTATCCAAATGTCCAATGAGAAGCAGAATGAAAAAGGGTGTTGTCATCCTTATTTCACAGATAATAGACTAACAGAAGGCACAAAATCCAAAAATGACTTGCTTTCCTGCTGGCCTGTGACCCTTTGAGGAAGGCCCCTATAAAAAGGGAGGCACGAAAACTGGAACTAGAACCGCCTCTGCTGCTTTCCAGTCCAGTCTTAAACACTGAACTGATGCCTCTTTTTTTCATCCATGATGACAACAGGTTGGTCTGTTTGGGTTTATATTATCTTCTTGGCTTTGCTCTGTAGACATATAGAAAGACATTAGCCTCAATTTTCTGCAGAACAGTCCTCATCTTACTTCTTTGTTTTGACTATTGCAACGTAACAGTGCCTTTTATCCAGTATTTTCAAGCAAGCCTTGATCAGTTTAATCATGGATTAACTCACAACCTCAGATAGACAATCTACTAATTCACAGATACTTTATGTAATAAGCAGTAAAACAACTCACATATGTACCCGCCAACCTGGAAGCAATGACCACTTCTGGACAATGACATGCAGCCTACCCAGCTAACATGTATGCAGAAACCCTCTCCTATACTTCATATCTAAGCCAGACACTGAACAATGCAAATGCACTCAGCTCTGCGTCGTGCCTATTAACTCGTCTGCTACCAGTGCATTATTGAAACCAGTGTCATTGTCAGAATCTCTCACTTTACTGAGGCTCTTAAAAGAAATGGCATTTTCAAGGCCCAACAACCCTGAAATACATGAAGATTTCACACAATTGGAAGGACGATTGCCCATCTTTAAAATAGGAGAAATCCTAATTTCACAAATACTCTGTAATGAGGAAGATGCACACACACTCCAAATGCTTTTTCTTTAACTAGAGAAAAAAATGAGACTCATTACTTCTTGCAGTTTCAAAAGATGTGAAGTCCCCTGAGAGGGTGTTTTTCATTGACCCATCACACACGTACGCATAAAATACTCACTTCACCTGGTTAAGTTAATACAGACTCAAATGGCAGGACTTATTTTGCAACTAGATTGCAAGAAGATATTTTTCAATATATCCATAGCCACCCCCAAGAACAACAACAAAAAGCCTCCAGAACTGAAAATTGTCTCTTTGCTTCATTACATCTAAATGATCAGATTCATTCCAGTCTCAATTCTCAAACTTCCCTCCCTTTTTTTATTCCTCTTTCTTTTTAAGGGACCCTATTATAAGGAGGAAAAACAAAATGGAACAAAGCTACAATTCAATGCTCATTTTAAGGTTTCCAGTTATAACAGTGCTCCTGGGCATGACTATTATATATTGCCTTCTTTGGGAAACTGTTGATCTTTTGATGTTTATCATTTCTTTATATAAACTGTAAAAGGGAGCTTTGTGAAGAACAAGACTTTGCCTCTAACTAAGGTCTATATTAAAACTCAGCCCAGGCCATGACTGGAAATGGAGCTTGTGGACTCAAACTATTCCCTCACTGGCCCCTGCCCACATCATAAAATCAGTAAGCTATTTGGCATAGAAGAAAAGAGATGGCAAAGCGTGAGAACTAAAAGCCGGCCGACCATGTACCTAAGAGCCATGAATATAAACACAGAAGGAAGGGTTAGCTAAGCTCTAGAAGGTGGCAAGGGGAACATCAGAGGTTTATGTGATATTCAGTGTTCATATTCCTAAAAGAAAGTGCACATTTAAAAATTTTCACTGCACATCTGTGCATTGCTACATTTTTAAGGGCCTGCTAGGACTGGAATTACAGGAGATTTGAAGCTCACGACCGAGTAGCTCTGGCAAAGCTGCATGGGGGAGGAAGGCTACTGAAAATCATGGGGGGAAAGGTAGAGCCTCTGCCAAAGAGGAGCATTAAAAAAGGGTTCTAGCCGAGGAAACTGTCAGCTTTATATATGGGAACTGGAAATGGAAAAATTGGTAGTGCCATTGAACCTGAACAGCAGCTGTGAAATCAGAATTTACTCCCTAATCTGAATTAACTAATCAAAACCAGGTCACTCCTCCTCCTTCTCTCCACTACCCACCGCATCGCCCCTGGGTTATTTTTCATGACCAATCGCATTCTGCAGCAAAATAAATAAAGAGCAACAAAAACAGAAATAGTAAAGGTCAATGTGTCCCCACAAGACCCAATGCACTTGAGATTTATCAATGGAGCAAATAACATAGATTTTTCACCTTTTGTCTTTTCATCTTTGTGGTACATAGACTTAGTAAAAAAGAGGAAGGTTGCAACCTCACCACCAATGTACTCAAATAGAAGCCAAGAATCATCTTTAAACCATGACTTCTGAAATCTAAGCTCTAAAGAAAACTAAAAGGTAAGGACTACATGAAGCAAAACAACCACTGTGCTAGTAATTTTTTAAAATTCAGATTCTCAGCTAATTTTATATACAAGCACTTTTTGATCAAGCAGAAGCATTTAATAAAATTGTACTGGTAAATTATCCAAATACATTAAAGGGTGTACACTAGCCAAAGCACGATTTCAAGCTCTTATTAACTAGTGATTATCTTCACTGATCCACATTACCATTCAGTTGCAGATGTTACTGACATTAAGATGTATGATGCAGAGGCTGGAGAAAGAGCCCATTTAAGACAGGTGAATACTTAATAGTAATTCAACATACACGGCACAAAATGTCTTTCACACGAGTTCAAGGATTTTCCCTTTTTTCTCCTTGCAATTTTATATGAATGTTTATAAATAAAATGAGAAATGAAACTTCATTTGGTAGCCATTTGATAGCTCAGCTTTAATGGCCATTTAAAACTTTGCAATTTATCATTTTAGGCTTCTTTCTCATCTGGCTTTATTTTTTTTTTTTATTTATTATTTATTTTTATCTTCCTCTCTGTATCATTATGGAAGATTGATATTTTAAGTATGCAGATAAAATTTATCTGACATGGAGCAGTTGTTTATCTTTCAGTTTTAGTAACCCCATAGCTGAAACTATAATAGTTAACCGACTGCCCGCTGGATACAGAACAGACCCCCTTTTTTTGTTGTGTTTTTGAGACGGAGTCTCATTCTGTCATCCAGGCTGGAGTGCGGCGCCATCTCGGCTCACTGCAAGCTCCGCCTCCTGGGTTCACACCATTCTCCTGCCTCAGCCGCCGCCCCCCTCCCCCACCCCGCCGAGTAGCTGGGACCACAGTCACCCGCCATCACGCCCAGCTAATTTTTTGTATTTTTAGTAGAGACGAGGTTTCACCGTGTTAGCCAGGATGGTCTTGATCTCCTGACCTCGTGATCCATATGCCTCGGCCTCCCATAGTGCTGGGATTACAGAGCAGACCGCTTTTAAGCCCTCGTTTTGTTATCCAGCTGCCTAGTATTACAGAAAGACTCACTGCCTTCAACCCCACCACCCGCCCTACCCCTCATTAGCTAGCCCATTGATCTATTCTATATGTTTCGTAGATGCAACAAAGTGCTTTTTGAACAGAGGAATATTATAAGATGTATAATTAAGCAGATGATTTCCTAGTATAGTTCATGAATCAGTCAACAGCATATTAGGGGCACTTTCTTAAGTTGATTTTTAAGAAAGGGAACCTAGATATTCCAGTAAGAAGTAAAGAGGTTAAAAGTGAAAAGATTCATGGGGAAGCACATAAACACCATTGGAAAATTTTGAGTATGCTTCAAGCCACCAAGTCAATCTCCCTCTCACTGACTTTCAAATGCAAATGCCAATTGGTTACTAATTTTATATATAGATTATATTCACACAAACTCTTAAGTAGTTAAAAAAATTGCAAAAGCAACAAAGATTTTCTTAGCAACCCTATCCTTTCTGTACAGTTCTGGTCTTTGAATATCTGTCTTGGATAAATCTGTGCCCCACTGCAGTTGGTCAGAACCTTTTGTACTTCAAAATCCAACCAAAATAATGTTTCCCCAGTTCAACTTCTTCTCTATACTTCCTATTTTCTTTGAATTTCCTCTGTTCTATATTTCGATCCATCCCCCAATCTTGCTCTCCAGAGGACTGATTTAAAGTAAACTATTAATAGTCAATAATGGCAGAATATATGCCATCCTCCAGATGCTATTTCTTTTTCAACAATTCCCATTACCCAGAAGAATAGGTAATGGGAGACTCTACACATGCAACTGGGCCAGTGAGAAGTATATTTTGTCTGAGGGAAGTTTTTTCCAATCATAGCATAAACATCTACTTGTTCTGCATAAGTATAACTGATCCTGTAAACACACACATATGTGTATTCATAGTTTTCTTTCCCGTATTTGGAAATATATGTGTGTTGCTAGTTATTGTTGTATATAAACAGAAATTTTACAGTTTTTAGGGGAATCTATATAATAAAATAGCTGCACATTCAAGCTTGGAGTTTCCAATATTCTCCTTTGTTCTATCAGACAAAATAGATAGTAAAGAGGGACTTCCTCAGGTCAAGAAGAATGAGTCTCAAGTGGTCTGAGTTGTCTCGAGCCAATAGTTTTCATACTATGTTAAGAGGAGCTGCAAGTTTCCTTTGAGGTTTCCACGGAGAGGAAACGGGGAAAACAACACACAAAGTTTGAATTGGAGGGTGGTTCTGTCCTTCTGACCTGCTTCTTAAGCCAAAGCACCTCTACTTTTATTGATTTTATGTAAAAGGAGTCTGTGAAAGATTTTGCCTGAAGATAGGTTTCCTCTGATTACAAACACAGTATTGTCCTCTTTCTAGGAAGAATGGTACTGGGAGAACAAAGACTTCTCTGTGAGCCAAAGGGAAAACCCCAAAATTGAGGTCTTTAGCAAGTTTCTCTATCCTGGCTAAAGGTTCTGCTGGGATCTTTTGAATACCAGGCCCAATTTGACTTTGTCTCTTTCTAGGCTCCTTAGAAGTATACATAAAAGTTGTACAGCAAAGGTTTTCAGCAGGACACATCCTCAGAACCTTTCTTGACAATACAAGTAAATATATAAATGAATAAATTATGTTTATTTTGCTCCCCACAGAATTCCTAATGGATAACATCTAATTTGCCCAGTTAGCAGACAGGAAGCCTTGTTTGTTATAAGTCAGTGAGTTAGGATGTAAGAATAATCTCTGCAAAAATATCACCAGGGGATTATCCTTAGTCCAAATCATTACACCTAGAGCTACGAAGTGTTACTCTCACCATAATTGTCCACACCAGCAGAACTAGACATGCACTTTACCAGTCTGCCAGGGGACACAATAAGATACCTTACAGGCTCCTTTCCTACTAGACATCCTACTCAATAGATGGTCATATAAATAGAGTTGGGATCAAGTGCACAGAGTATCACAAACTTATGGTAAGTTCTTTCTCACTGCAAGTGTTATCTCACAGTATATGATCCATCATCACTTCAGTGTACACTTTGGTTCCTCATGGAAGACTTGTTAACCTAATCACCTACCAAACTCTCAGAGTGAGGGTGACAAAGACAATGAAAACACAAATAATAATAATGAGGATAAAATAATAATAAATTTGCTCCCACTTTGTCAGATTCTGAGAAATTTCCATTTTGCAAAGGATTTCACACTTCCTACATCTCTGTATAACATATGGTATGTTCTAGTGGAAGTTAATTAAAGTTCATGTTTGACTGTTGATTCATCCATATTTCAGAGCACAGTGACAAGAAAAGGTGCTCACACAAGTTTGAAACTACCAGTGGAACCAGTTAGTCCTTCAGTCAAGCATGTGCGCAATCAATTAAATTCCAACTGTAAAACTGCATTAAAAGTACAGAAAGAAAAAGCTGTCAGTAGGTCACCGAACAGTGTGTGTTTGATGAAATACTTTCTTTGGTTGCATATTTGAGAAAACCTGTTATCTCCTTCCCTAGCAAAAGAAGACAAGACTCTAGAAGAACATTAAGAACACGGTGTTTTGCTTGTGAAGGTGGTTATGTGGTACAGGAGGGGCTCTTTGTCACCAGGTTGCTATATCAGCACCAAAAAAATGTTCTTGTGGAATAGCATAGTGCTTAAAATACAGTAATTACTGTTACAGTATGTGCACAGCAACGTAAGAACCGCATCTAGAGCTATACGTGGTACCGAGAGTTGAGAAACAGCTGTAATTTTGGCTTTAAATATGTTTACGAGCATTCTGAATGGTTTAAGCTTGCTGTGCAGCATATGATTTTAATTTTCTTTATGGATATAGGGGGGCAATGAAATGCTGACTTTTGATATAATAATCTTTCAGGTTTAGGAGGAACTATAGGAGGCCAGTCAGTCCCCAAGCCTGCCCTCTTAAATCTCTACTTATAAAGTTCTCGGTGGTAGATGTAAGTTTAAAAAAAAATTATACCTCACATTATATAGTATGTCTTATATCTTTGATTTGAGTGAACCCTTTCAGTTGACTACTTAGGCTTGCAAAATCAGGGAAAACCTGTAAAATGGAGGCACATATCTTATTTACAAAATAATGACTCCTTTCTTTGGAACAGAATAAGTAGAGTATTCCAAAGAAAATTCAATTTCATTATTTACTATATACAAAACTTAAGGAATAGTCATCTTTATATTGAAATTCATATGTAAACATACTTCAAAGCAAGTGCTAAATTTGTCATTTCTCAGGAATTGCTAAAGCAGATTTGCTTACAATAAAAAAAAAGAAAAACATTTGAATTGCCTCTGGTTATTGTAAGTTAATTGAACCTACTTTGGTTTGTTTCATTTAAAAAAACACATCTCAGACCAGTTAGCAGTTGAAACATTAGTGATGGAGAAAAATGGATCCTACAAAAAAAGATACACTTCATGAAAAATAAGTGATGTCATTTCCCTCAAATGATTTCTAGTATGAAAGACTTATAAATATCAATTTGACTAAAACTAGAGAAAACAAACTTTGATAAACAAGTCTTACTTGCTAAGGTGTGGACTCAGGTAGCTAATTTCATCTGCTCCTTAAAAATATTTTTTCGGCATCATAATCTTTTTAGAAATGTCTTATTTTGTCACAAGGTACAAAGTTACTTCTCAAATTTAAAAAATGCTTTTGTCAATCAAATATTTCTACCAGCTTCTATTCACATCAACAAAGTATAGCAAATGACACACTAAAATCCCAGGAACATAACGACAATTAAGTTCCAAGTAGTTAATGGCCAATCTATTGTGATGTTAAAAAAAAAAAAAAAAGTGCTTGCAACACATAAGCCATTGCACGACAGGCTTGACCAGTTTCTAGACTTCCTTAGATGTCAGTGTAGCAGGTGCAAGCCTGGGCTAACTAAACTTCATTTTATTTTCTCCTAGCTCATAACTAGACTATATTTTCAAGCCTCCTTCCAACTAAGCTGGAGTCATTGACCTGAGTTCTGTCTGATGAAGTATGGTTGAAGTTATATATGAAACTTCAGACTTTCACATCCTCCTTCATTTCCCACACACTGACTGAATATAGAAGGGAATGAAGTTCTAGAAGATGACAGGGCCACATGACCGAGTAATCCTAGTCCTGACTGACTGTATGGAACCAAGACATTAGGGAGAAATCTATTTTTATTATGTGAAACTACTGACATTTTGACTAATGTAAGCAGGGACATTGTTGTGTCTCCCACAAGTTAGGTTTCAACTGAAAACCAGAATAATAATAAAGCCCATTTTTTTAAAGACCCCTCAGAGAAGTAGTGAATACTTTAATTTAAAAACATTTATTTAGCACCTAGTCCAGGCACCACATTGAGTTAAAAGGTTCAAGCTCTTCTCTCAGGATGTTCATTGTCCAATGGTAAGGGGGATAAAGCTCCTGAGATCAAAATACAAAATGGTAGAAATATTTAATATATGGGGCACGACACATGGACATAGGAGAGACTTAACACAGGCTGAATGGCTTATTGAGGGCTCCTCCGCATGGTGGCAATAATTCCAATGGAAGGATTAGTGTGGGGGGAAGCACATGAGAAATGGAACCACAAGCAACAATGGAGATGCCTGAAAATACGCTATGCTCTATGTGATACTGTGAGAGACTCATTCTCAAAGAATTTACTGTCTAGTGAAATTACAGCATAGCAGGAGTCAAACCCCAGGTTCCATCAGTGGGCTTCATGACAGAAACATCAGTTTTGCTCCATTTAAATATATAAACCCTCTGCAAAAAGAAAAAAGCTACATACATTCCCTCCCAACCCCGACACACTCCAACACACACATACACACAGGACCAAAGAAGGGTCATTTTGATTCTGCATGAATGTGACAAGTTTTGCCAATTCCCTGAAAGTAACAAAGATGAGGCAGTCTTTCTAGTCTTCAGTTTTGGAAGAAACATCTTTGTGGTCTGGCTATATGACAATTCAATCTTTTTGTGTTTTCTAAGAATATTAAACGCATAGTTTCTGTTTTCTTAAAAGTCAGACTAATATTTGTGTGCAATTATTATATATAGATATTGCTGGAAAAAGTTCTGTTGTATCATTGTTGGAGCCTCATGTGTGTGATGTTCAGATACACTGATTATCAATACAAGTGCAATGCATGCTGTACTATAATGGGATGGTATTTTTAAATTATTTTTTGTTTGGATGGGAGATGCTACTTTTCATTTATGCATGCTCTTTTGACCACAAGATGAGGGTCAAAATGATGATGAACATAATGAGCAGAATGATACAGTTCCATTACTTGGACTCAGGAAAATATGTAGAAAGAAGGCTTTAAAAAAAAAAAATTGAAAAAAGCTCCCTGTATTAGGAATGCCAGAAGATAAAAGTGGTCAAGGTAATATAAATAACTAGACATTATGTTACAAGACTTTAGTTACTAGCTTTAGGCAATATACCAGCTTTGGGCAAAAGTAACTAATAAAATGTATTCCAGCCAATACTATGTTGGATGTGTACAGAATCTTTCATAAAACTTTGGAAATCATGGAAGATAGCAGAGAAGACAATAACACCCCAGGAGACAATCACATGCCTAGCATATTATCTTCAAGCCGCCTGCAGTGTTTCTCATCTAAATCTTTCTTTAAAATAGAAAGGCCTAGACTACTCTGATCACATAATGAGGCTTAAATATTATTTTGAGTAACCGAAAGACCCCATTTCTACAGAAACATAAAAGAAAGGCTTCTTGACATTAAGAATATGCTTAGGAATCTCAGTTTGAATTTTGCGTACATTTGGTTTTAAGCCTCTGAAAGCAGAAGATGTCATGATAGAATTCAATGTTTACTTGACAAGTCCCATCTTATACAAACAATAGATAATATAAAAACAGAAAAGTAAAAAGATCAGACTTAAAACCAAGGTGAGGATCCTTTGGACCACAGAAATAACACAAATGCAAAGCTGTATGGTGAGCTGAAGTTGTACACCTACTAAATTTCAAGTATGGTAGCGGCAGTGGAGTTTAGGAGCCCTGCTCCTGGGGTGGGAGGAGGCTGTAAATGGGAATTAAAGTGTTCAGACGAGATTGAGGGTGGGGTGAAGGAAGTGTGAGAAGGGAAACCAGAGCTTGGCTTACTGCTTAAAGCCAGGAGGTGAAACTAACCAGTCTTCCCTATAAATATAGCTTAAAACAAAACAAGCACAAATATTTTGCTAGCCACCATGGCCAATAATTGAATTGGGCCAGTTATTGGTTCGGTGGATACATCTGTGAGATCCGTAATATTGCTGAAGAACAGAAGCACAGAAACTGCAAGAGAAGACTTGGGTAAGGATGGGGATAGAAGTTAAAGTTACATGGGTAGTAGGCAGCAGTCACTCACAAACACACACACACACACAAAGGGGTGCACACAGAAGGAAAAGAAAAAAGTTAAATACAGCAAAAAAAAAAATAGCAATAAAGCAATAAGAACTCTCACTCACAATAAGTTGTAAAATCAAAATTACAAAGCACATTAAGAAATACAGTGCAACTAAAGGTAGCTAACAAAATAAATATTCAGCATAGTAATTAAGCTAAAGGAATTAATTTGATGGAGCCATCTGACAAAAACTTTCATATTCATATAATGAGACTCTTCAATATTCACTGAGATAAATGAAGAAATAACACCTATTTAAAGTAAATAAGTTATTTTTAAAAAGATACTAAACAAAAATAGATGGTTATGGAAAAAAAACAAAGATTCTGGAAAGTGGGAGATATTTGATTTTTACAAATATTAATAGCATACAAACCCTAGACTAAAAATGGTTGAAGAAAGAAGTAGAAAATTGGAAAAAAAGAACTGAGGACTTTACCCAAAATTAATCATATAGAGACAAAGAGGGTTTTTTTTTTTTAAGAGTTTTGTTTCGTCTTTCTACATAAAATATCAGATACAAGAAACGAAGAACAGATTGACAAGAGTCAATTTACATCTACTAAGTGCTGCAGAAAGTGGGAAAAAAATGAGAAAAGAAAAGATGAAGTATTACCTGAAGAAATAATGAGTTTTCCAGAACTGAAGAAATGAGTAAATAGACCTGAGTACTGTGGGCATTCAGTAGCATAAATATGGATAAATCTAGGCCAAGAGGCATCTTAACAAAACTGTAGAACACTGAAGAAGTGGGGGGGAGGGGGGAATTTAAAGATAACAGGAAGAGAGAAAAAAAGAGAAGACCGTGACGATTATACCGACATACTGATAACTGACTCATCAGCAGTAATAATAAATGCCAGAAAGGAATGAACAAATATTTTGAAAGTAGTGAGGGAAAATTACTGTCAGTTTAGCAGGTTTTACACAACTAAGCTATTTTTCAGGAAAGAAGGCAAAATTGAAGCTTTTTTTTTTTTTTACATATTAAAACAAAGGGAATTTACCACTCATATGCCTTTGCTAATAGATTTATTAAAGGACACATTTCAGGAAAATAACAAATTAACGTAAAAGGAAGTCATAGAATTAAGGAAGAAGGATGAAGCCAGAAATTGACATATGTTAATAAATGAATTAATGACTATCTGTGAAGTAATATTTTGTATGCACACATTTAAAATAAAACAAGTCAAAAACTGCCAAAATAACAGCGATTGTTGTGTGTCCATTTGGGGTGGGGATAGGAATGCAGAGTGGCTGGTTAAAGCAGTCTAAGATCAGGGGTGTTCTTAAACGAGATCAAAAAAGCAGCTTTTTAGAAATTTTGCAAACTGGTTATCAAACACAGCCATTATTTAAATATTCAAGTATATCAATTTAGAGCTAAATAAATTATATTAGAAGCAAAGGTAATAAATACCCCAAACCCATTACTTTCAGTTATTTTGCTTCATTTAGCTATTTCCTATGTTCTTGAGGTTAATCTCTGTCTACGGTATCTGGAATACTTAGGATGATATCCTGTTGAGCATTACTTCCCAACTTTACATTCACTGACATCACATTTATAGCTTGGAATCAGTCACGGTAGGAATATTTACACCAGGGAAATCAGTAAATGCTACAAATCAGGATTTTTTTCCTTCTCTAGGAAGCTGGTAACTAAACATTTACCAGCATGACAGTGGCTAAGGTTGATATATTTTTTAAGAGAAAGCTAGAAATATTAAATAATTTTATACTTTTTAATGTTACAGGTATTTAAAAATTAAGGACAACTGCTGAAGGAATGGGTGAATTAACTAATGAATGGGTGAAAGAAAGAAAGAGAGAAAGGAAAGAAAGGAAGAAAGGAAAGGAAAGAGAAAGAAAGAGAGAGAGGAAGAAGGGAAGGGAAGGGAAGGGAAAAAAGGAAAGGAAAGAAAAGGAAAATAAAGGAAAGGAAAGGAAAGGAAAGGAAAATAAAGGAAAGGAAAGGAAAATAAAGGAAAGGAAAGGAAGAGAGAGAGAGAAAGAAGAAAAGGTAGGAAAAAATACAAAGAAAGAAGAGTAAAATAGCTATTGAGAATTTGATCAACACAAAAGGTAATAAAGGAAGGGAAACAGAAAACAGAAAGAGAAATCTAAAATCCGATCATAGAAATAAACCAAAATATTACAGGATTCATAATAAATGAAAAATGGAAACAGAGACTATCACAGCAGACTGAAAAAAACAATAACACTGCATTGCTAACTAGATGTATCTAAACCCAATATAACTAACCCAAACAGAATGATTAAAAATAAAATAATTGAAAAATATCAGAAAAATACAAGTCAACACAGAAGGAAGTCACAGGAATTAAGGAACGATAGTGATACTAGAAATCAAAATAAAGCTGGTATATCTATACTTTTTGGAATCATAAAGCATACATAGCAACACGTCAACATTTGATCAAGCTGATTGTTATCTTGTTTTATTGCTCTCTATAATTTTCTATATGGTAGTATTATTTCCTGATACAAATACTTTTCAAAAGAAAGCACATTTGATCAAGGAAGGCAGGTGTTTTACAATAAATTTCCAGCTATGCCATTGATTTTGCAACCTCTATAGCCTTCAAGTAGCACCTCTAGAAAATGACAACTTTGGATTTTCAATGGTTGATGCACCTGCTGCATCAGGATAATTGTCACATGTTAAAAATGTTTCCTGGATGATACTCTTCAGGTGAGGCCTAGATTGGAAATGGACACGGCGTCTGTTTTTAAAAGCTCACCTGTCACCACCAAGAAAGATACCTGGATTTGGAGACCACTGACTGATTAGCTCTCATTTCAAAAGAAACTTTGGCTGTGATTTTCATAATGCTGGAAACAAACTATTAATAATCTTTACTCTTCCTTTTATAGGGAAAAGATCTAAAAAGTAAACCAAATTACAGGCTAAAATTCTTGAGATTTACATGTATTAGCAATAAAAGCAGAGAAAAATAATTATTTGTTGTAAATAATACTTTAAAAGCTTTCACATTTAGTGGCAGAGATGTTTAATCCAAAGTTGATAAGAGTTCAGAGAGGCCACAGAATCCCCTCAGCTGTGTGCAATTGTGTGTGTCTGTATGCATTTTCAGGAGGACAAGGTCATTTGCTTTAATCTAGATGATTATGCAAGTTTGTAATTCTAAATAGATTAGGAACAACTGACTTAAGAAAATGAACAAAAGAAACTAAAAATTCTAGAAAGAACCTCTTCCAAACCTTGTAGCATTACAGTATTGCGTTACACGACGTGACAAGAGGTTGCTCTGTATGTAGGACTGAGATCAGCGCTCACTCAATAATTGGCAGCAACAGGATCGAGGAGAGGTAATTTATAATGAAATGCCCTGAGACCTCTGAAGTGGTGTGAATGGAAGAGGGGGTCCTTATGATGTGGCCTTTAAGCAAGCATTGTGTAGAAAAGGACTGTAGACTAGAAGACTATTGTAGGAGGCTGAAAACTAGGTTCCAGACTTGTCTTGCCCCATAATGAGAAGTGTCCTTAGACAAGGTGTTTGGCCTCTCTTCATGAGCCAAATGAGAGGATCATGGTAGGTGACGTAAAGATTCCTTCTTGTTCTAGATTCCATAATTCTACCAGAAGCAGTGCTCTCCCCTCCAAAACAGAAGATAAGCCAACATCTCACCCCGAATACAAATCTAAACAAAATCCAGAAAATCCAATGATGGATTCGAGATGGAAAAATCAGTTTTAGAAGAAAAAAAGGATGAACTTTGCTAATCCAATAATCCATACATTAATTCCATGAAAAACTAGCACAATACACTAGATTCCCCTGAGTTCATAATTGAGTTTCAGCAAGCAGATAAAGGCCATTAGAATGACTGAAAGCAAAGGCTGTTATTCTGTATTCAAGGTGTTCTCATTTCTCTTGAAAGTTCAAAATCAACAAATTAGATAAGCTTGGGCAGACTGCAACTCACTGGCAGTCAGCCCAAACCACCATTTGTCCCAGAAGTCCAAGAGTCAAGACATAATCATATGAAGTTGATGCCCACCAGATCCCTGGAGTTGT